TTCAAGTTTCTTTCACAACTCATAAAATCTCTATTACTCTTTAAGTGGATTCTCACACCTATTATTCCCTACGTAACCTTAAATGTTTTTCCTCTAATAAATGGGTTACCACAGGAAAATGAAGACATTGTCTAACTTCTGAACCCACCAGCATCAAAGTCTTAGTGACATCACGGTATATGACAGCTGACACTCAGACTAGATGCTCATTAAAGGTCACAGAGGTGCTCCAGCTGTCCAAGGAAACTTAGATGAGCAGTTTTTGTTTGCATTCTAGCTGCAGGGCAAGCTGTGATTGGAACACAGGGTCTGGTATCATCAGTGATGCCAAATGGAAAGAGCAGCACTAGACTCAGAGGTGACAGAAGACCTGGGGTCAAAGTCTACCTCTATAAATTCCTGTGTGACCTTGGATAAGTTGCTCAACATCTCTGAGCCTCACTTTTTCTCTGTAGAATGAAACCAACCACCATCTTGCAGAGTTGCTGGAAGAATCAAATGAAATAACGATGTTTATAAAGGAACTCTGAAAATGACAAAATACAAAACTTTTTTTTTTTTTTTGCTAACAGTTATGGCTCTGCTCCAGCCTCTACAGACACCTCATTTATCACAGCCCTCAGGATTATGAAAATGTTTGACTTTGTCATGTGGTTAGAAAGAGGTAATAAATGATAAAGCTTTCAACAATTTTTTCTGAAAAGTGAGACATGGAGAGGGACTATTTCATTACAGGGTGCATGTGACTTGCATATGTGGAGGCCAAAGTCCATTTAGAAATATATGATCATCCCCTTCTCTCCCACCCAACACAGAATTGTGAATACACATCCAGGCCTTTGTAATCTCACTGCCTTCAGAAATGCTGCCAGCTAGGAGAAGCAGATTAGCTGAATCACTAGGAAAGTAAGTTCCAGAATACTGGCATCATATTTAGGAGTCAGAATCTCAATTCCAGAAATGAACACTATGCATGGTTAAAATTGCTTTGAAAAAATCTTTTCTGTGACTCTCTACAACCTGAGGCCTGAGAAGCTCAAAAACCAAGTTTAACTTTTTAAGTTGTTTCTCCTTGCTTTTCAACTCTGACCTTCCTTTTCCTGGGCTGCAGAGGACAAGGTATAGTTGAAGGAGGAAGGATGGCAGGAAGGCTTGAATTTGTAACAGGGTAATGGATATATAATGGGCCTCCACTTTCAGAGCTAAGGAAAGAAATTCCACTCCATATTCCTCACAGGCTGGCAATTAGATAATTCAAACAGTCTAGCGAGACAGCAGAGAGCACAGTGATTACATTTATTAGGTTCAAAGCCACGCCCTGCCTCACGGTGTGACTTCAGGCAAGTCACCTAATTTCTCTGTGACTTAGTACCCTCAACAGTAAAATGGGGTCTCACAGTCCGATAGGTATCATGAGGATTAAATGAGGTGAATTCATGGGGAAGACTCTGAACAATGCCTGGCACATGGTAAGCATTAGATATATGTTCACTACTATTATTATTAATTTACTATTGTTTATCACCTTCTGGTGGGATCATGGAAGCTAATGAAAACCATCCCATGAGTTAAAGCTCCCAAGGACAGAACAGGATAGGCAAAAAACTCACGCCTCTTACTTTTAATTTGCCCTTTGACATCACGGTCTTCCCCAGAGTGCTCTTCCTCATAATGTGACTGAAGCTGACAGAAAGACTGCAGGTCCTTCAGGCACAAAGGGCAAAGGAAGCCCTCCCTGACTTCCCCAGGGTCATCCAGAGAAGCCATAGCAGTGTCCCTCTCAACCCCTCATGCCAAGAGTCAGCTTGATTCCTCCACAAGGGACCAGTGCTCTCACAGCATTAGCTTAACCAAGCGGCACACAGGTGACGGGAAAGTGGTATCATGGCTCTGGATGAGGTTTCCTCTCTGGAGTAGGAGAAGCTCTGAAACAGGAAAGAAGGGACAGAAAAGAGGCAAATTAGCAGCAACTGAAAATTTTCTTTGTTCTTTTCAACGCTCAACAAGATTATTTAATGTTTGCTCACTGCAAGTTTCAGAACACAAACTGCCTTCTCAAACCCTTACACTGAAATACAAAACCTTCAAAGATTTGAGAACATCACTGGACAATGGCAACTCGCTGAAGTAGGAAGCACAGATTCCTGAAGATAAGAAAATTCAACTTCAAAAGCAAACACAAAACCCAGGCAGTTCTCTAACATGCACTTCAACTGGTCCAACTCCATAATTTGTATGCCACTTCAGCCACTGAGGAAATGTCTGAAGTACTTACCAACACACAGAAATTTGTTTTTAAGTCTATTTATTTTGAGAAAGAGAGAGCACAACTGGGGGAAGGGCAGAGGAGAGACAGGATCCCAAGCAGGCTCTGTGCCATCAGCACAGAGCCCGACACGGCTGAAACTCACCAACAGTGAGATCATGACCTGTGCCGAGATCAAGAGTCGGTGGCTTTACTGACTACCCCACCCAGGCGCCCCCACACACAGAAATTTTTGACTCTTTACCTTGGTCATTTACTCAACCACATATACTAAGCTCTTACACTTACATCACAAATGCAAAGAGTGGGGCGCCTGGGTGGTTCAGTCATTTAAGCATCTGACTTCAGCTCAGGTCATGATCTCACGGTTTGTGGGTTCGAGCCCCGAACAGAGCTCTGTGCTGACAGCTCAGAGCCTGGAGCCTGCTTTGGATTCTTTGCCCTCCTCTCTCTCTCTGCCCCTCCCCCACTCACACTCTGTCTCTCTCTCAAAAATAAACATTAAAAAAAATTTTTAATAAATAAAAATGTTTCAAAATGCAAGGACAAAAAGAGATAGTGTTTGCCCTAAAAAACAAAAGCAAAGCTAAAACCACACCAAACAAAAATCCCAACCTTAGTCTAAGGAGGAGCATTAAAAATCCAGTGGTAAGGGGTGCCTGGGTGGCTCAGTTGGTTAGGCAGCGGACTTCAGCTCGGGTCATGATCTCGCGATCTGTGAGTTTGAGCCCCGTGTCGGGCTCTGTGCTGACAACCCAGGGCCTGGAGCCCGCTTCGGATTCTGTGTCTCCTCTCTCTGCTCCTCCCCTGTTTGTGCTATCTCTCTCTCTCTCTGTCTCTCAAAAATAAATAAATGTTAAAAAAAAAAATTTTTTTTAATCCAGTGGTAAAAAGAAAAATCTATTTTGTGTTTTATATTTGTACTTTTTCGACAGTGAACATAGTGGGTTTTATAAGTCAATAAATGACAGCTGAAAAGCCAGCCTAATGTTCTCACTGCTTCAAAAATAAAAGGATTTAGTGCTTAAGACATCCAGGGCTTAATAGGTTACATTTTCACTTTTACTGGGCCATGCCAAAGTCACTTCCAATGTCACCTCAGAAAAACACCCAGCCTTGGGAGAATCCAGATAAAACCATTCCACAAAAGCAGAGAAATTTCTCCCCAAGAACATGTGGTCACAAACCGCAGTAGAGAGTAAGAGGAAATGTATGACTCTCAGCTTCGGATAGGCCTGCTCAGAGGGCCTGTGAGGACGGAATGCCTGGTCCTCAAAGCCGAAGGGTAGCCATGACCCAGAAAATAAGCAAATGAAACACCGGGCCCCTGGTTTTTTCCCTCTAAGAAACCCCATGACCATATACACCCAGATCTCGGCCCCTTTTCCAGACGGTCACTGAAACAGCAGTTCCAGTTTCCTCCCCAGCAAGTGGTTATCGGATGCGGGGACTCTAAAAGCTCCTTTCCTTCCCAGGCACTCACCCTAACAACCACAAATCAAACACACACACCCTTCACATCTCAACCCAACCTTGCTTCCTCAAGGAAATGCCTCTCACTTGAGGCATTCTCCCGTGGGACAGCGCTCGTATCAACTTATAATCACGAGTACATAAAATAACTAAGTACAGAAGGCTCTAAGCTCTGTAAGGGCAGAGACTACGCGCTTTTCCCACCACCTTACCCCAGGGTCTAGCACATTCCCTGGCACCTACCACGAAGAAACGCACGAAAGCTTCATTTGTGAATGAATGAATGCATGCCTGACCGAACTCTAAAATCGCATAACCAAACACACACCACAACCAAATAAATCTACAAACCACGAATGCAGACCCCACAACCATAACATGTGCAAGCCCCTCTCAACCCACACCACGTAAAAAACAAAAATTATACTTACATATCCTGAAATTATACGCCCAGCATGAATGCTACACGGTTACATGCCGCAGAGACTACACATCCCACAGTCGCACTCCTCACGGCCTCGACCGCGCACAACACCCTCCACACAATTCAACACGATTATGCACAGGTCGCATAACCACACACGACATGAAAGACTCGACCCCACAGAGCGGACATGACAACTTGACACGGCGCACAGACGCCACACCAAACGCTACAAACGACTCTACACAAACTCAGAACCCAAACGCCTCAACCTCACACAACCAGGGAACCAAACGCAAGCAATCGGGAGACCACCGCTCACGCACCCTCAGCCGTATAACCAAACACAACTGTGCACGCCCCCACGTAACCACACAATCACACAGAGCCCAATCGTCGCAAGCACGATGCAGGCGAAACTCACGGCCCGAAAGCCACATCTCCCACCAAGCACGTCACACCCACCACAACCGCATACCTCCCACACCCGCACGGCCCGCCCGTCTCTGTTCCTCAGGTGAGCCGAGCTTCCGCCACTCAGACCCTTCCCGGCCCTCTGTACCCGGCCGCGCTCCCCCTGGCACGCAGGCCCGTCGGCTCCTCCCGCCGGGGTTCTGGGCCTCTGCGGTCCCTCACCCAGCCGCGGCCGCCATCTCCATCGGTTGCTCGACGCTCGGCAGGCGCGCCTGCGCGGCACCGAAACCGGAAGGCAGCCTGACAAACGCCTGTCGAGCGCCGAATCTCTGAGGGCGAGAAGGGCGGAGGTGGGCTTCAACAGCGCCAAGCTTGTGCATTGGCTTCTGCGCAGGCGCTGTAAGAACCAACAGGGGAGGACTGGTAATTTTGCAAGGTTTTGCTGTCCCAGGCACTTAACGCGCGAAGCGTTGAAGCCAGCCGGTGGTTCTCCACCAGTTGTAGAGGTGGAAAAACAAAGCCCTTGATTCTTTAGCGCTTAGCCAACGTGTGCGATGAGTGAAGAAGTGGCGGTGGGCGGTGGGGTGCTTAACACTTTCTATCCCACTCCCAACTGTGGCTCTGAATTAATCTGAGTCAATTAAAATTCCTGAGAGCTAGAGAGAGAAGGAATGTTCAGGAGACCTGGAGAATGCGGAAAGAGCCAGAATAGAACCACGTGAGAGTGGGGATTTGGAATGAGGTGGAGTATCTATCTGGAGGGCATACAGCATAGTCAAATCTGTGGGAAACCTGTGGTGTTTTCAAATGCAAATGAAAACCTTGATGAATATCACCTGACACTTGTTAGAATAGCTATTATCCTAAAGATAATTACAAGTGTTGATGAGGTTATGGAGAGAAGTGAACACCTGTGCACTGTGGGTAGGAAATTGATGCAGCCACAATGGAAAACAGTATGGAGGGTCCTTGACAAATTAAAAACACAACTACCCTGCCATCCAGCAATTCAATTTCTGGGTATTTAGCCAAAGAAAGTGAAAATACCAACTTGAAAAGATATATGCACCACCATCACCATTCCCACTACGTTCTTTGCAGCATTATTTCCAATAGCCAAGATATGGAAACAATTTAAGTGTCCACTGATGGATACATAAAGGATATATAGAATATCATTCAGCCATGAAAAAAAAAAAAAGGAATAAAAGCTTGCCATTTGCAACAACACGGCTAGACCTTGAAGGCATTATGCTAAGTG